GGAGGCGACAAGGCAATCAGGGGAAGGCGACACTCCATAACATTCCGCTGCTGCCACTGCGGTTGGCCATGGTTACCTGAGCAATACTTGGTTGGCCATGGTTACCTGAGCATTGGGCAGCCCTGGGAGGTAGGGCAGCCACCATTCGGGGCATGCCTGCGCCTTAGGCATCGGCTAGACAGCCACTAACTGAGGCGTACCTGGGGCTGGCCCTTGGGTGGCTGGGGAGCTGAGGGGACTGTGCACCGCCCTCTTATGGCTGTGGGTGTCACCATCTTTGAGGGCGGGGCACTCAATTAGCATATTCCCTCCTTATTGACTGACTGTGGGTGCCGCCACCTTTGCTATGGTGTGAGAGTCAATTAGCATATTCCTTCTTTATTCGATAGGATTGGTTCTAATTAATTTCCTTTCAATATGCATGAATTTGTGTACCAGGTCACTGGTTTATATAAATAAAAGTCTAAGCGACAAAACAGTTGACTGGTTGCTATGATGCACACTGATCAACACAGGAGCTGCCCCTGGATGGTCAGTGTACTCCCATAGTGGGAGTGCCACTCAGCTGACTGACTTGTCCTGGCAGCCAACCAGCAGGACAGCAGCAATGCACACCCTCAGTAGTCCTGCAGGTCCAATATCCAGAGCACGGGCCAGGCACTGATGGACATGTGCTACTGGCATGGTCCCAAAAGAACTGACAGTTTCCTGGAAGTCGGCCTTGGGCGCTGCTGCTGCTTCCTTACAAAGTTGCAAACATTAGTGGTATGGATCTGAATCTGGGGATTGCAAGGCATCCACCACCCATCCAGAAGACCAATTGTAACTTGGTCCGTCTCCTCAACCATCCTCAGGGCAGGCAGCCGACACAGAGCTCATAGCTGGTGAGCACTGCTGTGGTGGTGCAAGCTTTTCCTAATTGCGAATAACTGTGCATGAGCCAGTGGCAGACACAATGGGGCCAGTATGAGCAGAAGTGGCAGGAAAGAGTGGCAGGCAGGAGCAGAAGACAGCATTCCTATGCATGAATTTGTGTACTGGTCCTCTAGTTAAATTAATCCTAGTATGTCTTCAATAAGTGTTTTAGTTTGCACTGATATTTTTATGTAAAATATTATACTGTACTAGAGGCCCAGTACATGAATTTGTGCATGGGTGGGGTTCCTCATCCAGTTCTGATTGGGACCGGCAGCCAACTTCCTGCATCCCTTCCCCTGGCTGGCTTGCAAGGGACCACAGGAGGTTGGTTGCCTGCAAGGAGGAACCATGTGTGGTTGGCTAGATGGCAAGGGGGAGGGGTCATGAGAGGTTGGCTTGCTGGGTGGTGGGGCCATGGGAGGTTAGCTAGCTAGCCAGGGGGAGAGAGGGCGCAGGAGATTGGGCACCTGTGGGGGAGGGACCATGGGGGATTGGCCAGCCAGAGGGAGGGGCCAATTGGGCTGGCCAGTGGGGGGAGGACCGTGGGAGCCTGCTGGTGGGGGAAGGGCCAATTGTGGCCAGCCAATGGGGGGGAGGGGGAAGGAACAATGGGAGTGTGACTGGCAGGGGAAGGGACCATTGGACATTTGTCGGCCTGGAAGGAGGGACAGAGAGAGGTTGGCCAGCCATGGGAGGTTGGCTGTGGGAGCACAATGACCACCACAGGTCAGCTCCTGCATTGAACATCTGCCCCCGGTGGTCAGTGCATGTCATGATGACTGGTTGACCCGTCGTTCCAGTCATAACAGTGGCTTAGGCTTTCATATATATAAACTGGTGGCCCGGTAAATGAAATTTGTGTAGGGGGGATGTCCCTCAGCCTGGCCTGCATCCTTTTCAGTCTGGAACCCCGTGGGGGATGTCCGAATGCCCTGTGGGATCAGGCCTAAATTAACAGTCGGACATCCTCTTGCAATCCAGGCCTGTTGGCTCCTAACTGCTCAATGCCTGCCTGCCTGATCACCCCTAATTACTCTGCTGCTGGCCTGCTCTTCCCCAATTACACCAATCCTACCAGCCTGCTCACCCTTAAATTGCCCCCCCTGTCAGCCTGATCACCCTCAACTACTCCCAATGCCAGCCTGATTACCCCCATACCACTGGCCTCATCACCCCCTACTGGCCTACCCTCTTGGCCTGATCTCCTCTAACTGCCTCTGTCTTGGCCCTGCCACCATGGCTTTATCTGGAAGGACGATAGGAAGATATCCGGGAAGGTGTCCCAGTCTAATTAGCACATTACCCTTTTATTAGTATATTTTTTTTTAATACAAATTCATATTTTAGGTATTTCCCCATGTTTTATAGTCTCCATTTTCATCTATTTTATTGTTTGGATATTTCACCTAGGGGTAACATCTATATTTTCTAGTGTTGGAATTTAGTATTTTATAGCTTCTACCATTTTATAATAATAGCTAATGTGCTGAATATCTTGGACATATATTTTTCTTCTTTATCCCACACCACAGATATCTGTAAAGTGATAAAGTGGAACTAACTAATCTCTAAACTCCCTTAGTTTTAAATTTCTAAAAATATGTTTTGTATATTAATAGATTAACCTTTTAAAAATACCATTAAAAGTCCATATGAATATAAAACACTGAACTACACGGGGAAGATGTTAAAATAATTTACATCTTAAAAACGGAGAGTCTAGGTTTCCATATCCTGTCTAATAAAAGAGTAATATGCAAATTAACCATCACTCCACTACACCCAAAAGACACGCCCACCAACAATCAGAGTGAGTATGCATAACCCCAACCAAGATGGCTGCAGCTACAGAGAGCAGGAGGGAGGCTTGGGTTTCCCTGGCAATGGAGGAAGCCAAGCTTTCCAAACACCCTGCGGACCCAGGCCTCCACTCAAAGGTATAAAGTCTCAATTATATAAGGTAAATAAATTTCAAAAGAAATGGTGGCATCCACTGAGCTGGAAGAGCAGAAGGATAGAGTTGCCCCTGGCAATGGAAGAAGCCATGCTTCTGTAGCCTTGGCTGGCTCAGGCCTTCACTCCAGGCTACAAAATTTCAATTAAAGAAGGTACATAAATTCCAACAGAAACGGCTATCACCAGGAGTGAGCCACACCACAGCTTTGCTCCAGGATACAAAGTTTCAATTGTAGAAAATAAATAAACCTCAGATACCAGGACCTCCGTTTGGGTTGCCAGGGGGCGTGGCTGGCCTGAAAACCACCACAAGCCCCTCGCCCAGGCCACCCCACACCCCAAGGGAACCCCGCCCTGATCCAGGGCACACTTCAGAGCAAAACAGCTGGCCCCCACCTGTGCACCAGGCCTCTATCCTATTAATAAAAGAGTAATATGCAGATTGACCATCACTCCAAAACACAAGATGAGTGCCCCAATGTGGTCAAAGATCCTGCTTCCCATGTGGACACAAGATGGCCACCACAAGATGGCCAGCAGGGGAGGGCAGTTGAGAGGAACCAGGCCTGCAAGGGATGGCAGTGGAGAGGGACCAGGTCTGCAAGGGAGGGCAGTTGTGGGCGATCAGGCAAGCAGGGGAGAACAGTTAGGAGTCACCAGGCCTACAAGGGAGAGCAGTTGAGAAGGACCAGGCCTATAAGGGAGGGCGGTAGGAGGGAATCAACACTGCAGGGTAGGGCAGTTGGGGTGAACAGGCCAGCAGAGAAGGAAAGTTGGGGGCAAACAGGCTAGCAGGGGAGCAGTTAGGCATTAATGAGGCTGGCAGGAGAGTGGTTAAAGGGTGATCAGGTTGGCAGGCAGAAGCGGTTAGGAGCAATAAGGAAGGCAGGTAGGTGAGCAGTTGAGAGCCAGCAGTCCTGGATTGGGAGAGGGATGTTCGACTGCCCGTTTAGGTCCGACCCTACCAAGAGGGTCCCAGATTGGAGAGGGTGCAGGCTGGGCAGAGGGACACCCTCCCCCTGTGCACGAATTTTGTGCACAAGGACTCTAGTTTAAATATAATCCTTAAGAGGCTCTATAACTTTGCCATCAGTTTATCTTGAAAAATAAAATTAGATTTTTTTTTCTTTTTTGACTAAGATATTACATATGTGTCCTTATCCCCTCATTGTCTTCCCACCCCACTTCAGTTTATGCCCTCACACACCTGGTGTCTATGTCTAGAATTTCTTATTTTAGAATCATTGAAGGAAAGATTCAAACTTTTATTCTGGTGCTTCTCAAACTTTGGTATGCATAAGAGTGACCTGGAAAATTGTTTAAAATGCAAACTCCTAGCCCTATGGCTAGAGGTTATTTAAGAGTGTCGGATTGGCCTAGAAATGTTGCATTTAAAAAAAGACACTCCCCAGATAATTTTAACCTTGCACTAAGAAATAGAACTTGATTTGTAAGTCATTGACTCTTGTAACAGATGAGCCATTAAAAATACAATAGACAATTATTGAACTTGATATACTAGGCCTGCATTTTTTAAATGAATTTTTAAAATTGCCAAATCACACTGTACATCTGAAACTAATAATATTTATATTAACAGTAAGTGAAAAATTAAAAAAAAATTAAATTAAAAATAACCAAAACATTGTATAAGACGATTCCTTATTTATTCTTTCAAGTTATTCCTATAAGTGTTTCTCTTAGAGGAATAAAGTTAAACAAAATTTAAACTTTGAATGAAACTCAAAATATAGTATTTAAATGTGCCAATATGGAAAAACAAAAAGCAAGCTGATATGTTCAAAATGGATCATGTAGGAAAATTTGTCTTATATTATTATTGAATGGGGACTCCTTTGTGTCTTAAAAATAAAAATCAAAGAAAGCTGGTTGCAGTTCAATTTAAAGTGAATTCTTCTTGCACTCATTAAAATAAAAAGCATTCCAAAAAGTGCAAGTCCTTTATAAACTTTCCAATATAAAAGGTTTTTTTTTTTTTTTTGAGGAACTTAGTTTTTACGATATTAAATATAAAAGTTTATTTTGTGCTACTATATATATATATATATATATATATATATATATATGAAATAACTACCGATCTATTCAGTTAATGAAAGCCTTACCTGAGCAATTGATTCTGTTTGCAAATGAGCTCGGGATCCACATGCAATAGCCATTTGATCCTGAAGAAAAAACAGTTATGTTTTAATATTTAAATGTCATTAATAAAAATATTTACTTTCAGCCGAAACCAGTTTGCTCAGTGGATAGAGCTTTGGCTTGAGGACTCAAGGATCCCGGGTTCGATTCCGGTCAAAAGCATGTACCCTGGTTGTGGGCACATTCCCAGTAGGGGGTGTACAGGAGGCAGCTGATAGATGTTTCTCTCTCATCGATGTTTCTAACTCTCTATCTCTCTCCCTTCCTGTCTGTAAAAAATCAAGAAAATATATTTAAAAAATAGTTTCCTCAGAATAATTTACCAAAAAAAATTACTTTCAAAGTGATTATTTCATTTTTTAGAAATTAACTTTTTGAGAAAATAACATTAAGTATCATTAAAGAGGCTTACTGAGAAGTTCATAATATGTACAGTTTCAAGAAGTGTAATTGAAGTTATTAAGAAAGTACTATTCAGCCGAAGCCGGTTTGGCTCAGTGGTAGAGCGTCGGTCTGTGGACTGAAAGGTCCCAGATTAGATTCTGGTCAAGGGCATGTACATTGGTTGCAGGCACATCCCTGGTAGGGGGTGTGCAAGAGGCAGCTGGTCGATGTTTCTCTCTCATCGACGTTTCTAGCTCTCTATCTCCCTTCCTCTCTGTAAAAAAATAAAAAAAATATATTAAAAAAAAAAAGTACTATTCAACCCATGGAACCAACAAAGCTGGATAATTATGGACTGAAAACTGACAATTATGAGGCCAAATATGGGTCTCAATTTATAACACACCAGGATCAAACACCTTTGAAATAGCCAAAGGTCACCTTCAGCCAAGAGGCAGCAGTCCAGCAATAACAGATCCTAATAAGTTGGTTGGGACAGTTTCATGCACCTCAGTAAATAGCCACTGGCCCAAGCCAGCTACCAAGGATCTTTCCAGGACTCTGTGGACACCCCCATAACCTATCACCTCCCAGGTCAACACAGAAGCAGGGGGATGGTGCTCTGGCTTCTGGCTCACTCCCTAAGGCTAGCAGTTCCCTAAAAGCTGTTTAACATGTTCATCACACCCCTGGACAGGACTTAGTATTTTCTCAGCACCTTTCACAGACATCCTTCCAAAGCTACCTTCACCAGAAGTAGCTGATTTGCAAGTTCACAAATACAACAGAGAAACACAAAGAGAGAACTGAAAACATTGTAGGGATAGGAGGGTGGGGAGTTGACTTCCCCCCCATCAAAAGGAGGAGACCAGGGTTCTCCTGGCACATGCAGCTTCCTCCAAAATTAACTCTCTACAGAAATGAAATTGTTACCCAAGGTGAACCAATGAAGCAAAATGTAAATTCTGCTTTGAGTGAAATGTTACCAACCATTTTCAAAAATTCCCACTGACGATCAAGGAAGTTGGTTTTCTAATTTTACAGATGTGGTATGTTAATATCACCTGCTTTTCAATGGACTGTGAAGATGTCCAGAAAGCAGACAGTGGGGCTCGACTGCCCAAGAGAATGAGCAGCATGGCCTGAAGTCTGGGTCCTTGAGTCATTATTCCGAACATAGTTTTTTAGTTACCAGCAACCTTGCAATACACTGGATGAGCAAGGATGGTCCAGAGCTTGACCATCGAGAGAGACACTCAAAAAAATAGGTTTGGCCCTAATCGGTTTGGCTCAGTGGATAGAGCATTGGCCTGTGGACTCAAGGGTCCCAGGTTCGATTCCAGTCAAGGGCATGTACCTTGGTTGCGGGCATATCCCCAGTGGGGGTGTGCAGAAAACAGCTGATTGATGTTTCTGTCTCATAGATGTTTCTGACTCTCTCTCCCTCAACCTTCCTCTCTGTAAAAAATCAATAAAATATGTATTAAAAAAAAAAAAAGAAAGTACTATTCAGGCTAAAGATTACTTAGGAGCATGCATTACTTCAAAATTAATATATTTATTATTTTTTTCTAATTAAAAATACCATGCTAAAGAAAAATCAGTAGTATTAGAAAGAAAAAACTTTACAGATGGTATCATCCTATATAATAAAAGCCCAGTGACAGAACAGCAGAACGACTAGTCTTTATGATCCACCAGGGGGCAGACACTCAACACAGGAGCTTTGTCCTGGTGATCAGTGCACTCCCACAGTGGGAGGGCTGCTTGGCTGACTGGGATGAGCAGCGGCTCTCTACAGCAGGAGCAGCAGCTCAAAGGGCAGGTCCACAGCTGCTTGACTGACTAGGATGAGCAGCACTCCCACAGCAGGCCAATTCCTGCAGGCAACACCCCTACCAGTGAACGAAACCCATGTACCGGGCAGCTAGTTTTATATAAAATCATTAATTTTTAAAAATCCAAGAATATCAACTTAAAGTCCATTAGAAGCAATAAATTAATTTAAAACAATGAGTAGGTATAAAATGAATATATACCTATACATGATATTTTAGTCTTTCTTATATATAGACAATCATAATAAAGTTACAATGGAGGAAAAAATTAGCATTTATAACATCAATAAAGAAAAATCTAGAAATAAATTTTACAAAAAATGTAACAAAATCTAAAGAAGCATTTATGTATTACCAAAGAAAATAAATGAATCCAACATATAGGAGGGTAAAAGATGATCCTGGCTAAGAGGATGTGAGAATAGCATTAAAAAGTCAATGTTCTCTAAGTTAATCTTTAAATTGAAGCCCATTAAAATAGAAATACCAACATAATTTTTCTTTAAGTTAGAAAACTTGATATGAAAGTTGATGCTGAAAAATAAACAATCAAGAAGAGCCAAAAAAATGTCTAAGAGTGAGGAAGGACTACTTCCAGAGTATTAAAAAAGATATTAAAAAGATACAATAATTAAAACTAAGGTACTGGAATATAAATATCCATACACATACACAAAACACATGTGTACTTAAACTTAGAATATGATAAAGATGACACTTTAAATCAGGGGGAAAATATTGTGAGGCAACTTAGTAGCAATTTGGAAACCAAATTAAAGTGGACTTGAGCCTCATCCTGACTAGGATATATTCTAGATACATCAAATATTCAGGTGTAAATGAATATTCAGGCAAAAGCACATAAAAACTAAAACAATCAATCAGTATGATAATAATTTTTTTAAAAAAAATTGTTGTGTGGCATGACCACCAAAATTCAACCACATTAAACATTAAAAGACAAATAAACAGGAGGAAAATATTTGTAATTTATATTGTAGGCAAAATGCTAATTTCCAAAATGCATAATGAGCTCCTACAAATTATTAAGAACATTACTCAATAACTGAGTTGGAATAGAGGCATGGGCTAGGAACGGAATTCACAAGAGGAAGTGAAAATAGCTCTCAAAAAACTGAAAAGACCTTCAATCACATTTATACTGAGAGCAATACAAGTAAAACCTTTCCATTTTTACTCTATATGGACAGCAATCTGAAAAGTGTTATCAAAATCATATACATATAATTGCATCCAGTAGTTCCACAACTAATTCTTCCTATTAAATAAACTTATATGTGTAAATTGATATTCATGCAAGATTAATCATTTCAGTATTGTTTGAAGCAGCAAACCTGTATGTCAATCCAAAGGGACTAAGAAGCTGTGAAAAAAATAAGAAGCACTTTGAGGTCCAATCTACAATGTTTCCTATCTAATAAAGAGGGAATATGCAAACTGACCATCCTACCATCACAAAGATGACAGCGCCCATAGCCAAAAGATGGTGGCACCCAGTGCCCTCAGCCCTAGGAGTCCCCCAGTCCTTTTAGCCCTACAGTAGGGCACAGCAGGTGCATGGTGTGCCAGACCTGCCCTCAGCCCCTCAGCTACCCAGGGCCAGCCTGAGGCGCAGGCAAGACTCCGATGGCCATTGCCCACCCACCTAGGACCGGCTGGAGGCACAGGCTAGCCTCAGATGTCAGCTGCCCAGCTGACACCTGAGGCACAGGCAAGCCTCAGATGTTGGCTGCCCAATTGCCGAGGGTCGCTTGAGGCTCAGGTAACCAGGGCCAGCCGAGGCTTGTGCTACTGGCAGTAGAGGCAGCAGAAGTGTGATGGGGGTGTTGCCTTTCCCTGATCTCCAAATCACCTCCTGCCCCTGAGCGTTCCCATTCTGTGAGAGGGGGTAGACCAGGCTGAGGGACCTCCCCTCATGTGCATGAATTTTCATGACTGGGCCTCTAGTATTGCTAAATAGAAATGACAAAACAGTGTATAGTGCATTACAATTTGCATGTTTAAAAAGAATACACTGCTGCCGAAGCCGGTTTGGCTTAGTGGTAGAGCGACTGAAAGGTCCCAGGTTCGATTCCGGTCAAGGGCATGTACCTTGGTTGCGGGCACATCCCGGGTAGGGGGTGTGCAAGAGGCAGCTGATCGATGTTTCTTTCTCATCGACGTTTCTACCTCTCTATCTCTCTCCCTTTCTCTCTGTTAAAAATCAATAAAATATATTTTTAAAAAGAATACACTGCTAACTGGTTTGGCATAGTAGATAGAGTATTGGCCTTCGGACTGAAGGGTCCTGGGGTTCGATTCCACTCAAGGGCACATGCCTGAGTTATGAGCTTGATTCCTAGTAGGAGGTATGCAGGAGGTAGCCGATCAGTGATTCTCTCTCATCATTGATGTTTCTCTCTCTCTCTCTTCCTCTCCTTGTTAAATGTTCATATAACAAGAAGGAAATGAAATGTACAGATTACATGAAAATCTCTACCATACTTTGAAATTATATATTTTTTAAGCTCTATTGTTCTCACAACTTTTCTTTTCACTTTGCTATCTCTAACCTTCTTATAACTCATGGTGAGTTACTGTATGTATTTAATAATAGTAAGCAGCAATTAAAGCAAAGGAAAACCACCAAAAGACATGAAAATCCTTATAGCACAATTTCTTGAGATGTAAACAATGTGAGGTTTAGGGGTAAATTAACTCATAATAGTGCATTCTTTGGTTTAATTATCACCAAGAGACTTGTGATTGATCATACTGGCATCAACAGGAAAGTTGTGAAA